TGCCAAAACTCTCATAGCTGCAGTACATTTTTGAATTGAGGACATACCTAATCTCCTAGTTGCATCACTTTTTTGTTGAAAAAATTCATCTGTTCAACGAGTTTACTCATTATTCGTTCGAATAATGGCTTCCGCATACGAAATCTTGTTCGGAAAACTTCTGGAGGATATATTGGATCATCTGAAAAGTATTGCTCAAACACCCCTTCATGGCCCTTCTCACGTTGTCGCTCAATGTAGCATCGTCGGGGCCCATTAGCAGTGTTTGTAGGCGGAAAAGATATAGTAGGAATGCGAAAAGCAATTTCCTCCATTTGTGAGTTAATTTGAAGATTTTGAAGTACAAGGCCTTCATGCCATTCATCAAAGTTTTCATATGATGACATCTTTTCCAAAGTTTTGGTGAAAATGATAATTTGAATAAGAAGAAAGTTTTGATTGTAGTGATTTGATGATACAAAATTCTGGTGTGTTATATTTATAATAAATGCTAGTGGTCAATTTGACATGGATTGTGCTTTTTGAAAGAATGAACAAGATTAATTGCTTTAGTGATGAACGGTGAAAATCAAATTGATGAAGATTGTGCTTTTAACAAACGGCTCAGATTCATTTCTTTTGTGAGAAGTGATGGGGATTTATGTAATGTGATTTAACATATTTAGGCCATCTCCAACCAAGAAACCCAAACTCAAACCCATTTTGCAGTAACCATCCCATTTTGCAGTAATTCATCTCCAACCGAAAAACTCATTCTCAAACCCAAAAGAATATTCCCAGAATATTTTCTTTTACACCAACTTTTATAACTTTTCAATACTACCCACATATTTTACAACTTTACAAATTAAACCACACTATTATTTTAAATTCAATTTGGACTTTATGTAATTAAAATTAAACATAATAAAATCGGAGAAATAAATATTCATTAAAAATTAAAATTTCACCACACAAATAAAATTAAAAATTAGAATTCACAAGATGAAAAATTAAAAATTACAACACACAAGATGAAAAATTAAAAATTACAACACACATGAAACTTAGAACACTATTGAAAATATACGATTTAGTGCAAATTTACACTCTAGACCATATATGGTCTAGCGCATATATTCACATTTTAAAAACTGTTACTTTTTTTTATTGTATTAGTGCAAATTATGATAGATGTAACATTTAGTGCAAAGTTACACTCTAGACCATATATGGTCTAGCGCATATATTCACATTTTAAAAACTGTTACTTTTTTCATTGTATTAGTGCAAATTAAATGATAGAGGATCAAAAATTATATATTTATGTCAATTTAAAAATAAAAAATAAGTATAGCAAAATTGATCTCTATTTGTAGAGAATTAAAAATTATGAATTTTGGTATATTTATTTATTTTTTTATTTGATTATATATAAAATATATTAGTTTAAAAATTATTAGAAAAAAAAAGATGAACCAATGGGATGGAGACAAGTGTCTCTATTCCATTGGCTACTTTATCATAATACCAACTCAACCACTTGGTTGCCTATCCCCAAAATACCGGTCTCTATTATTAACAAGATGGATCAATAAATTAAATAATATGAACATTTTCATATGGATATATATTTTCAAAATAACTAACAAATTATATTTTAAATCTAATATTTCACTTCAAATTACGAACTACTGTTCCATAAGTAACAATGCTAATAAAAGTATAAAACAATTACACATAAAAAAAAAAATAATAATAATAAAAAAAACACACACACACAGATTTTTATTAATATTATCCATTTGAATTCCAATGCCCCAGCCACGTCATCGATCCGGAATAGCAACACCCATACGTGTTTCCATCCGTCCGATCAGGCGAATCTCAGCCGTCGATTCTTCACTGTTTTTTCCAGATTTATTCGATACCATCCACCAGCTGCTTTCTTCTTGTGTGTCAAAAAGGGCAGTCATAATTGTCCACGAGGCCCTTTCCTTTCTCTCTCTTAAAAACCCCAAAAGCATTTCAAAATTCAAAGCCGACTTATTGGGATCTCTCTCTCTCTCTCTCTCTCTCTCTCTCTCTCTCTACAGTTCTGATATTTTTTGTTTTCAGGTCTCTGTTAAAGCTCAAGTGAAGCTTCAATGGCGAGTGACGAGCTCCCTCCCTATTCACAGGTCGACCTCTTCAATTGATGCCTCTAAATGTTTTCAGTGATATTTGTGTTTAGCGCAAAGCTTCGTTCCTTCAATTTTTTCTTGCTCGCAGTTTTTTGAACTTTTATGTATTTGTGTTATTGTGTAATTTTTTATCAGATAGCATAATTTTTTTTCATGAAATTTGGTATTCTTTCTTTGTTGTTTGATTTGTGTGTATATCTACTTTTTTTTGCGTAATTTGCAGTCGATATGCCGTTTGAACAATGATTAACAGCATCTTGCCCTTAAAACCATGACTGATTTTTGCACGTACTTGCTTACGAAGTGATGGTGATGTTTATTCTGCCTGCAAAAATTGTGCAAGTTTTACTAGTAGCGATGGCCTAAATTCAGTTCCCTTTAAACAAACTAGTGCCTGTACAACAAAGAACATTGCTACAGCAGCAAAGCTGGGATCTTTTTGCTTTTATCCACTTAATTTCGGTTCCCTTTTTCGGTTTTTCTGTTTTTCCTTACTCCTTTTTGTGGCCCCATTGTTGGTTTTAGATGATACTAGAAGCTGTTGATGCACTCAAGCATCCAGATGGTGTGCCCCAATCATCCATATCTGACTACATCGAGTCTAAGTACGGCCAGATATTGCCCCCTGAGCATGAAGACTCCCTTGCCACCCACCTGGCCCAGATGAAGGACACTGGCAACCTTGTTCTTGCCAACAATGGCGGCTACCTCAGGCCCACTGGATCTGAATCTCAGTCGGCCCCTCCCAAGCGGGGCCGTGGCCGCCCACCGAAGCCCAAGGATCCTCTTGCTCCAGCAGCTGCTTCCCCTGCCAACCCGGCCCGCCCTAGGGGGCGCCCCCCGGGCAAGGCTCATTCTGCCGATGCAGAGCCTGCTGCCAAGAAGCCGAAGCCTGCAGCTAGCTCGAGTGGGAGGCCAAGAGGGAGGCCGAAGAAGGTGAAACCGGCCGGGGCTGTGGAGACCGGCATCAAGGCTTGAGGTTGAGTGAAGTGACTGTTGTTGGTGGTCTGCTTGTCGTCTGTGACCGACTTCTTCGTTAATTTGAATTTAGGAAGTTTGTTGATGTGATTTCTGTAGGTTAATTTCTGTTTCGACTGTTCAGTGTTCTGTTCTTCTCAGTGTTTTCAGGATGAATGTAAAGTTGGGGAAGTACTGGATAAGTAGGTGGTTGTGTGGAGTTACCTTTAAGGTTTAACAAGATTTATCTGGATCCTTTTTTGAGCTTCAATTTGTGTTCATTTTTTTGTTTGTTTGTATTGTTTCGTGTGCATGCATTTCTTGTTTGACAATGGTATTTTGATGGGCTCTTGTGCTCGACAGTTTGAGCTGTGGTTATATAATTTAAAGCCAAAACATGAACACAGCCCTGCCCAAAGCTTGTGAAATTTGAATGTATTTATGAGAAAATGCTACGGTCCTGTTGAATCATTTTGTCGAGGATTGTAACAGGTTGATCATCATGTAATTGTCGGGATAGTCTGACGATTACAAACCCCGACGGAATAGTTCCGTAACGAACCGTAGCATCTCCCTATATTTATGTGTTTGTAGAAGTATTGTTTGAGCTGTGGTTATATAATGCAAACCAAATTATTATAAGCTATAGAAGCTACTGTTTGAGCTGAACAGCATTTGAGGTGCTGGTATTTTAGTTTTTACCAACTTCTAAGTTAAGCTGAAGCTATTCTCCTTATTTCATTTGGCTACAGCTAAAAATTCACATCATCGTCAAGACTCTCCTTTCATAGCGCTCTGTAATGCGATTCAAGAATCACTTCCTACAAGCAAGAATCACTTCTCTCAGCCACTCATCGCCGCCGTCAAACCTCCGCAAAGCAATCAACTTCTCTTCGTGCCCAACCAGTTCCTCCGACTGGGCCCGCCACAACCAACTGTTTCAAAGGCACCCCAAATTACTGCTCCTCGAAGAACAATGCAAGAAAAAACCTCAGATTCTCCAACACCTCGTTTCCTACGTTTTTGTTTCGGGCCTCCACCGCAACGCGTTCGTTATGAGCCGCCTGCTCTACGTGAGCTTGATCGACCCGGGTGCGAATCCGGAGCTCGGGGTTCGGATTTTCCACAGTAC